GGGCTTAAGGTTAGGGCTTAGGGTTTAGGGCTTAGGGCCTCAGTTTTTACGGTTTAGGGCTTAGGGTTTACGGTTTAGGAGCCTTAGGGCTTAAGGTGTAGGGTTTAGGCTTACTGGGGGTTTTTAGGGAATATGGGGTTTAGGGTTGGTAGGGAATTCGATGATTAGGATGAGTATTCTAGGGGTTATCAAGGAGTGTAGACAATGGCTCATATTATGTGGCATATGATGTAGGGATTCTTAAAACTTACTCGTGGTTACTAGGGCATATGGGGGGCAGGGTTCAGGGTTAGTAGGGAATAAGGGAAGATAATCCGTATATAACCCCAATATAAGATATTGTCCTACTTCCTATTAAGCAGCAGTAGTTTTACTTAGTAATCATAATCTAGTCATCTAGGCAGTAGGTCCTTCAGGGCTCCTGGACATTGCCCAACAGTAGCGGACGCCATATTCGAGGATTTCTACTTAATAGATCCTCCAATGGGTTTGGGAAGTGGAGCTCCTGGACCCGCCAATTTGGGATTGCTGGATAGTGTCAGGTTGATTTCTTCAATGGTCAGATGTTGTACATTTCCTTTCCACTGTTTTCTGTCTTGGCTTGGGCAGCGCTGCGGGTAAGAGCTGAGACAATGGTACACCAGCGTTCCTACAAACATGCAGAAACATCAACCTTTTGAGCATGTCCCAAGGAAGTGGCATGTTATACACCCTTGCATACCATGATCCTCATGATCCTCATGGCTGGGGCTCCCATAAAGGGATGAAGAGTCCTGGCAATTCCGAAGGTTCTATATGTATTATACCCATGTCCTCGCTACTGAAGGATAACTGTCTACTGATGGTAGCCTGGCGAGTCCTGGTGGACCAAGGCTTGTGCCAAGATTGCGTCAAGAAGCCATGTGTCGTCCAAGGAGCTCCGCCATGTACTCATATATCACATTTGCTCCAGCGCTTGGAAGGTCAGCTCCCAGAGGCCTGCAGAAATTTGATTGCGTGCCGAAATTCCTTTCAGGTGGTCCTTCAGGTAATGATACAGGCTCCGTAATCCAACCCCTCAAACTTGGACTCTATCGTGAGGTTACGCCAAAGTAAATCCAATCAAGGGCAAAAGGCTTCTTGAAGCTCTACACTTGGCATGTGATCGCACCGATTGCGGTGTTCCCTTTGAATTAGCATTGAACTCGTTTTCTTTGCCTTTGAAGCACAGTCTTATGGCAGTGAAGCATTACCCAAGGAGCCCAACCCCCCTCCATCAAGGAATATACCCCAAATGCTACTAGTGTCATTTAGGGTACAATAGCACTTTACTTTGCTCAGGGGAAGTAGCTCAGGGGAGTTAATCAAGCTCTCTGGGTAAGACCCCACGGAATGATCCGCAATGTAGATACTGAGGCATAACTTACTGGAGTACAGTTGCACCACAAGATTCTGAACTGTGTTGGAATGGAAGCCTCAAGCTTACAGAAAGGCAAGGTAACAGCCTGAACAGAAGCCAACGTGGTTCCAGGACGATATCTGCAGTGTCCGCCACTTGCTCGCACACGATCTTCCAGCAAGGTTGAGAGTGATTGCAGCCAAGTCCAAAAGTGCTGATAGATTGCGCTTCTGTTTTCAAATTCCGATGTATGCTCAGCAGACCAAAGCCAGTTGTAACAATGAGTGCGTCGTGAGATGCTGTTTGGGTCCGCGGAAATCGGAAGAGTCCCCACTATCTGCCACGGCTGTGGTCGCAAGTTGCCCGCATAGGCTTTTTCATTTAGCCAAAACAGAATGTTTCCTTGAAGAGACCACCCTGTTGCGTACCGAGAGCACTCTTACTATCAACTCTATAACAGAATTCTTACCAGCTACCTTACACGCCGCGCATATGAGGATTCTTCCGCTTTTCTCCGCATTTCATCCTTAAAGCACGACAAAGGCCGCAGACCCCATTCTACATGCCCAACAAGAAGCTGGGCACTCAGACAAAGAGCCTAAGATGCGCTGCACTTCTTGATTTTGGGAGTTTCCCAAAAATAAATGGATACCTTTTTTAGGGTCCCAATAACAAGGATTATAACATTTTGGTGTCTTATTGGGATCCCCTTATTTTGGGAAACTAGCATTTTGGGGCAGCTCCAGAGCTGAGTTAAGAAGGCCCGACGCACTTCTCCTCTAGCTCCTGTAATCCTGCATAGACCCCTTTATCTACCCGATATATCCCCGACTGACAAGCAGCCCAGGGTAAGCAAGTCCACAGCAGTGGTCATGTCCGAAATTTTAGCTGACAATTAAGACGGCCCTGCGCATTGCAATAGACCCCCAAACAGCTCAGATCTCAGACCTTTGTTCCGCGGAGTTCTCATGTCAGCTATAATCTAAAGTCCTTAAAACAGCTTATGTGAAGGATTATACAGGGGACAAGTATGAGTGTTCTTAAGGTGGATACTAGGAGTTTAGACTATAGCTCATATGAGGAATCACCCACGTTTGCGGCATAAGGCATCAGGCTTGGAATTCTTGAGGTCATCTAGAGTCTGGTACGGGATCCGTCTAGCATTGCCCATGCGCAATAGGGCCTTGACCCCTAGCTCCTAAACCCTGAACCCTAGAAGTTCACAGCAAGAGTTGGTTATCTTAGCCTCTTTCTGAATTGGTTAATGTCGTATTTTTCATAAGAGCATTCAGTCTGAGAGCGATTCCAGGGCTCAAGGAGTTTATGGAGCCACTTAACGAGTGAACACGTCAGGGACCCGGTCACTAGAATAATTCCGTGACCCTACACTTTGCTTCAAGCCTTCAGAAGCTGCGGTTACTTTCCGATCTTATGTACTCATTATTTCGCCGAAGTTGTTAAACAATGTAACTTTCCCCAAGGCAGGTTGCCAGCCACGAATAATTGAAATCATCTCTGCTTATGCACTCCAAAAGAGGGCCGGTGGCTTTTGGAAGCCTTTTAACCCAAAAGAGACCCTACTATTTGGAAGCCCTACGGTGGATACTTGAAATATCTTGAAATCCTGCATGACCCTAAGTACCTCATACCTTTGGGAACCATGTTGATATCATGTGGGAGTTTGACTGCCAACCCTGGAAGCCCCTATTTAGGGTTTAGGGTTTAGGATTTAGGGTTTAGGGTTTCATGTTCCACGTCCTTTTCCATTTGATGCTCCAGTCTTGGGGAAATATACCCCAAACGCAACACCCTTTGAAATCCATATATGTATATATGTACACACCCTTGAGACCCTCTACAACCTTAATACATACCATACTGTCCTAAAGCTCTAAACTCTAAACCCCCAAACCTAAAGCCCTGAAGCCCTAAACCCCTCCACCCTAAACCCCTAACCCCTAAACCCTAAAACGATACACCTTCAACCTCTAACCCCTAAACCCCCAAACCCCTGAACCCTAAACCCCTAACCCCTAAAACCCTCAAACCCTTGAACCCTAAACCCCGCAACCTTTCTGAAGGCTCTGCTCTAGCAGCTGCCAGCCTGCCCCTGGCCCTGCGCCCCCACCGTGGCCTGGCGATGGTCCTCAAATGGGCTACTGTAGAGGTCTGACTTTTCCCCGGTTAGGCAGTATATATGGGGTTTAGGAATTTAGGGTTTAGGATATAGGGCTTAGGATTTAGGGCTTAGGAATGTTTAGCATATATAGGGCTGAGGATTTAGGGCTTTGGCTTTTAGAGTTTAGGATGTAGGGTCTAGAGGGATTTAGGGGTCAGGTTTTTAGGGTTTGGGATTTAAGGTTTAGGGGTAACATAATCTACCAGGGTTAGCGTGCAGGGGTTCAGATAAGTACCACTGCTCAGTAGGGCTAGGGTTTGCGGTTTAGGGAATATTGGAGTGGAGCCTAGCAAGCCTGCTGCAGAAAGGCAAGAATGGATAATCAACTGGACAGGAAAATGGAAACTGGAAGCCTAAACCTTAAACCCAGGAAACACTTCCCAGAGTTTCAAAGAACAAGATCCCCATAAACCCTAAAACAACAAATCTCCTGCTTGAACCAATGGAGTAGCCGTGCCGGATGTTGGGGTAATCGGGTTTTTGGTTCCAAGCCACTTGCCACCAATCACGGCAATGGTCCAATGACCTGTTACAGAGTCCAATACAGCTGAAAAGGTACCTGACAGCTCATCCACGGACACGGTAGCAGTCCATGTTGGATGGGCTTGACATGAGACCGGGTTGTATGACTGCGTCGATGATGGCGAGGGTGCAAAAGCAGTATTAGGGGTATTTCTGCGTGCATCAATGTGGTGCCCTCTTGGGGAGACTAACAAGTAATCCTGCCGTTCACTCGGGTCCCAACTGCGTGCCACAGATAGGAAACCCCTCTCTGGACGCTTTGCCGCATTTGCGCGTACTTGTCATGCATGTCAAGGTACAAGCCCCCGCCCACTCCATGGATGGCGAGCACTCCACAACCTGGGCGCATCACACCCCTCCCAATGCCTGCGCCTTTGCCTACACCTTCCATTTCACCTCTGCCGAGCCCTTCGCCTAGCCCAACCACCTGCAAAGAGGACGGATTGTCTGCATACAATGCTCCGCACTGCCTCAATAGTGGGATAGAATTTTGATTGATAATTTTCATTAGGGCTTCATATATCATCCAACATGTGATCCAACAATGTCACAAAGTAGGTGCCGGTGGTATTCCGCCGGGCCATAAACCAAAATGGTCGGGCTGTAATGATATTTTTCCTTTTTCGGGCGCGAGTAGTGGATCCTCAGCTTGTGTTGTTTGCGTGCCAGCTCCCCACATGTAATTATGTTGCTCCATAATACACCCTTGGACCCGAAGCATTACACCTCTTTCCGCAAAGAAGCGCAGTGTAGCGAATGGATGCGAATGAGGTGCGAACAGAGACTTGCGGAACAGTCATGCTCTGATTGTGCACGTCGTTTTTGGTTGAGGCTAGGGTCAAAAGCCTGGTAACTAAAACTACAACCCACCCCAGTGCTGTACATACTACGTTGTGTTTGCATGCACGGTGTGGGAGTCAGGCTAGTGCTTACAATTTAGCGGGCATGCGCAGGGTTGTCTAAGGCATAGGGTTGGGGTGCAGTTCGAAACTCACGAAGTGAACAAATGCGGACGGTTGCACTACCAGCTACCGCGAAGACTCGTCAGAAGCATTGCAGAGAACGCATTGCAGAGAACGCAACACTAGCTATGGGAGTAAGATCTGAAAGCAATGTCTTGACAGTACGTAGTAGCGGAAGTCACGATCACATTACAGCTGAATATCCTGTAACAAAGCCAAGCGCTGCTCTTCTCTGTCCAGCACAGGACACAATGCTTCCCTTTCTCGAACAAAGCCATTATAACCCCAATATACTATAAGAGTTTCCATTTTCTTTTCCACTATCCCTATATAACCCGTCTATAACCCCAATATACAAGAATAGTTTCCATTTTCTTTTCCACTATCCTTATATATCCCCTATATAACCCCAATATATCGGACCCCAAGAAAGCACCTTAGACATCTTGACAGTCCCATACGAAGCCAGGACACCGGGGGCAGTTGCAGCCTCTTTGGCTGCAGTTCGAGCCGTGGGAAGACGAAGTGCAAGAGTGGAAAGTGCGTGTGTCCCTCGGCGATTACATTTTGATTGATTCTGACTACCCCTGCAATTACTAGAAACTACAAACACGATTGCAATGAAATCAGTATTGCTATTGCTGCTCACGAAGATCCGTTGGAAGTGACAGGGACCCGGGATCTTATTGTTGGGCTCCTTCCGGCAATACCCCTGGTTGTATAGGATAAGGAAATTCCATGCATGCGCAAGGCCCTTTACAGTCTAGTCGGCCACCATAGTCCCTCGTAATGCCTTCCTCGTAATACTAAGCCCCACCCCCAATATTTGCGGTCTCTTTCCGGGCATATGGAGTATTGGCTGGGGGGTTTCATAGCCCAGGAAGGGCTTACGAGACATGGCACCTGTGACCAAATGCCCCCAACACTGAAACCTTCTGTTGCCTTGGATTGCTGGTGCTTAGGGAGAGTGAGGGAGTGGATACCTACAAGACTCCGCATAAAACCGTCTGCATACCTGCATTCCCTTCTGCACTCGCCTTAAGCACGGGTAAGTTCAGTTGATCTATAGTCTAAACTCCGAGCTTCTCCTTAATAACCCCTATCATTCTCTCCTAGATAACACGCTCTAGGGAATTTAGGTTCTAGCTCAGTTGGTGATCCCCGTACTTCTGGCGAGGTGACACCAAGAAAGGCTACTGCGCGAAGAGCGGAAAGTGTGTGACTGGGCTGCTGTTAAGGGACTTAACTTAGATGGACTCCCCACCCAAGTAAGAGTGAGTATACGGGAAATAGTGATTACATTAAGGCCCGCTTATATTCCTGTTATACCATTATTGCACGGTGGGGAGGTTCCTCCTAAGACTATCTAAGACTTAACTCTTGTTTCCCTAGTGCGGAACCATGGTACGTTTGCCCATCTTATGGTTTAAGTTCCTAAGCACGGTTTCCCTTTTCTGTTCGATTGGATTCTCCGTGGTAGGGATCCGCAGCACGCCGTAACTCCAGCACCAAAATCTGGTCACTACAACTAACTAGCAGATGACAGTAGTACTAGGGATCTAGTTGGGGGCTTGGAGCTACCAGAATCCGCTTTTTCGTATCCTAAACACTAAGACCCGGAACCCTCGACCCTAATCAGCAGCCCAGGTGAAGACGAGCCACACCCAGCCATACAGCCCCAGCCCAGTACCAAGGTGGGCGTTGAGATGTTATTTGGTTTTACGGCTTTTCGAAAAAGATTAAGGGGCCCCTTTGAAAGGGTTTATGGGGGATGGATAGGGGTCTATAGGGATGTGTAGGGTCTAGGTTTCCCAACAATTGGAGGGTCCTTATAAGAAGGATTATAGTATTTGGGGATCTTTTGGGTCCCCATTTTGGAAGCTACCATTTTGGGTTCATGGGGAGCTGGCAAGTTTTGGGATGCGGGGCTTTAGGGTGTGAGGCCCAGGCTTTTTGGAGAAGTTTGGGATAAATCTTACGCGCTAAACCGCGTAGTGTGGCCCGTGACTTGACATGCCCGGGTTTAGGGTCTTAGGATGTTAGGGCCTAGGGTTTTAGGGTTTAGGGATTTCGGATTCCGGGTGTAGGGTTTAGGGTTTAGAGTTTATGGGTTTAGGCTTTATGGTATAGGGTTTAGGGATTTAGGGTTTAGGCTGTAGGGTTTAGGGTTATTATCCCAGACAGGGCTCCACAGAGGCAACTGTCCGGCGGTTGACTCTCTTTGAAACTCACTTGGGCTTCGTGTTGTATATGGCCATTGCCACTACGGCTGTGTTGAAATGTCAAAAGTGGCTATGGGGGCTTCCAGAGATTTGGGCAATTTAAGCGGGGGGACCCCAATATAGATCCCATTATGCTGTAATCCTTCTTATAGGGACCCTAAGAGGTAGCTTAGAATCAAGATTTTAGTACACTGGGGGTCCATATTGTCCCCCCACCCCTGTTCTTCGCCGTAGCTCGTCTCATGAGTTTCTGGGCTGCCGTTGTGGAACTTAAAATGGCTTACCACTAGCAGGAACCCATATGAACTATAATCTAAACTCCTTAAAGCGGGGTCATATGGGAGATTATATAGGGGACTACTATAGGGCTTATTAAGGGGGATGCTAGGAGTTAAGACTATGGCTCATATCTCTATATGGTAACTTCATGGAAGTCAGCTTATACGACACCCATACCAGAAGGATTTAACTTAAGTTCCTGAACCGCAACTTCTTGGTGTGAGCACTGACATCCCGGGTAGTCAAGCGGGTGCTCCTGACCCAATCCTAAACCCAGAATCCAAGACCAGCGAGCTTTTAGTAGAGGATGAGGCACTGGAAAAACCAATGGAAACTGCTCTTGCGATTATACCGAGGCATCTCTAGAGATCAATTCGGGCATTCCCTAGTAACAACCAGTAAGCACGAAGTCTCTGCCCTTTTTGTCGACCCCTGCAGCTCGACATCCACGTGCAGATTAGCTGACACAGGCGGTACAGGTTGAGTGTTCAAGCTTTATGATTCAGGAGATGCTTGCAAGCCTGTGCGAAAGTTGAAAGGGTTCAGGGGTTGGGGTTTAGGGTTCCTTAAACCCTAAGCCATTTAGTATTTCGTAAGCCATTTAGTATTTAGTATTTGTGTCTATTCTTATGTCTTTTTTGAGGAGGGTAGATATTAGGGGCAGTATCATACTAGGGGCCCCAGAAAGGAGCACAAGTTTGACAACCTTCCATGTGCTAGATCTCCTATCCGTATGTTGGAAAAACTACCCAGTCTCTGTGAAGATTGGCCTGACAAACTAGCTCCCGCAAACTCACATGGAATCCCAAAAAGAGGGCCATGAAGATTGCTGTCCTTTGAAAGGGGGTCCTGCGTTAATTTTGGGTTCTCTGTCCAAGATGACGCCTACGCAGCTACGGATGATGATGGTGATGGTGACGGTGGTGATGACGATGATGATGATGATGATGATGATCGTCATCGCATCTCGTGTCTTTCAAGCCCCAGCGCAACTCGCTTTGTGAGACTCTCAGGTTACCTGAAACAATGCTACCCCATGGCCCCGTCATTTCGCGGCCCCCCCTGTGCTCTCTCGCATACCACAAGTATACCATAACTGTACCATCCTGTGCCTAGAAACCTCAACCCTATAAACCCCACAGAATTCATGGAATTGAATTCTGCAGGCCGCTGTCAGGCCCTCCCTTAATCATGGCCTGTTGGTCCGTATTAGTCTCCTATTCTTGGGAGGGGTCTGATTGGCAGGGGGGAGTACCACTAGGATCCTATTATGTTAGGCCGCCTTATTAATGGTCATCCCATGATATCCAGTGATAGCCCCACTTTGCGGACAAAACCCGGCAAGGCTCTGCAAACCCTTCTTCCAGAAATAATTTTAATGAAAATAATTACTTGGCTGGACCTTTTGCCAGGCACATCATGCCGATGGTCCAGCTGTGACCCCAAACTGGGCTACTCAGTGTGAGAGTTACTCTTGACCTCAGAGCTAGGAGGGTCCAGGGAATCATCCGGCAAAGAACATGGAAGGTGAAATGGAAACCGGGGGTCTAAAAGGGTCATCCATGTCGATACTGTTCAAAGTTTGTTGCAAGTCTGCAGAGGGCTGACATACGAGTTTAGCCTATCATGATCTTGCAGTGGGGTATGGGTCCATCTGAAATTGCGATCAGCGGCGATTGGGGCCTTCTCCTGTTTTACAGCGATGCGTATGACTTATAAAGCTCGTCTGCTGGCATTGCACCTTCTGGACTTGTGTGGGTACTATGGAAGTTTATGTGGCCAAGATGGTTGCTCGCGAAACTACAGGACCGGTTTGGGTGGCCTGCATACTCTGTATCTAGCATCTGTGCTAAAGACGGCTTCAAGACATAGTCTCTGTTTCAGGGGTTCAGGTTAGGGTTGAGAATCTTGGCCTGCCCGTCTTGGCGCAAATCTTCATGCCCCCTGGCACTTGGTATGGAAGCCAGTCATCCAGAATTTCAGTCAGCCACGAAGCGCTGCAATTCTTTGGAGGCTTTAATATACCCAATTATCATGTAGTAGTTTCCATTTTCCTACCTAAGGGGGATTATAACACGAATATATACCCTATTATCATATAATAGTTTCGGGGCTAATGGCCTGAACAGTTAGAGTTCTAGGACTCTTGTAACTGCCCAACT